GGTCAGCGTGGTGTAGTTTAGATGGTGCTGGGAGGGGTGAGTGGGAGGGTGGTGAGGGTTGAGTGGTCAGCGTGGTGTAGTTTAGATGGTGATGGGAGGTGAGTGGGAGGGTGGTGAGGGTGAGTGGTCAGCGTGGTGTAGTTTAGATGGTGATGGGAGGTGAGTGGGAGGGTGGTGAGGGTTGAGTGGTCAGCGTGGTGTAGTTTAGATGGTGATGGGAGGTGAGTGGGAGGGTGGTGAGGGTTGGTGGTCAGCGTGGTGTAGTTTAGATGGTGATGGGAGGGTGAGTGGGAGGGTGGTGAGGGTTGAGTGGTCAGCGTGGTGTAGTTTAGATGGTGATGGGAGGTGAGTGGGAGGGTGGTGAGGGTTGAGTGGTCAGCGTGGTGTAGTTTAGATGGTGATGGGAGGGTGAGTGGGAGGGTGGTGAGGGTTGAGTGGTCAGCGTGGTGTTGTTTAGATGGTGATGGGAGGGTGAGTGGGAGGGTGGTGAGGGTTGAGTGGTCAGCGTGGTGTAGTTTAGATGGTGATGGGAGGGTGAGTGGGAGGGTGGTGAGGGTGAGTGGTCAGCGTGGTGTAGTTTAGATGGTGCTGGGAGGGTGAGTGGGAGGGTGGTGAGGGTTGAGTGGTCAGCGTGGTGTAGTTTAGATGGTGATGGGAGGGTGAGTGGGAGGGTGGTGAGGGTTGAGTGGTCAGCGTGGTGTAGTTTAGATGGTGATGGGAGGGTGAGTGGGAGGGTGGTGAGGGTTGAGTGGTCAGCGGGTGTAGTTTAGATGGTGATGGGAGGCTGAGTGGGAGGGTGGTGAGGGTTGAGTGGTCAGCGTGGTGTAGTTTAGATGGTGATGGGAGGCTGAGTGGGAGGGTGGTGAGGGTTGAGTGGTCAGCGTGGTGTAGTTTAGATGGTGCTGGGAGGTGAGTGGGAGGGTGGTGAGGGTTGAGTGGTCAGCGTGGTGTAGTTTAGATGGTGATGGGAGGGTGAGTGGGAGGGTGGTGAGGGTTGAGTGGTCAGCGTGGTGTAGTTTAGATGGTGATGGGAGGGTGAGTGGGAGGGTGGTGAGGGTGAGTGGTCAGCGTGGTGTAGTTTAGATGGTGATGGGAGGGTGAGTGGGAGGGTGGTGAGGGTTGAGTGGTCAGCGTGGTGTAGTTTAGATGGTGATGGGAGGGTGAGTGGGAGGGTGGTGAGGGTTGAGTGGTCAGCGTGGTGTAGTTTAGATGGTGATGGGAGGGTGAGTGGGAGCATGGGGTGAGGGTTGAGTGGTCAGCGTGGTGTAGTTTAGATGGTGCGGGGAGGCTGAGTGGGAGGGTGGTGAGGGTTGAGTGGTCAGTGGTGTGTAGTTTAGATGGTGATGGGAGGGGTGGGGGGTGGTGAGGGTTGAGTGGTCAGCGTGGTGTAGTTTAGATGGTGATGGGAGGAGAGTGGGAGGGTGGTGAGGGTTGAGTGGTCAGCGTGTGTAGTTTAGATGGTGATGGGAGGGTGAGTGGGAGGGTGGTGAGGGTTGAGTGGTCAGCGTGGTGTAGTTTAGATGGTGCTGGGAGGCGTGAGTGGGAGGGTGGTGAGGGTTGAGTGGTCAGCGTGGTGTAGTTTAGATGGGCTGGGAGGCTGAGTGGGAGGGTGGTGAGGGTTGAGTGGTCAGCGTGGTGTAGTTTAGATGGTGCTGGGAGGCTGAGTGGGAGGGTGGTGAGGGTTGAGTGGTCAGCGTGGTGTAGTTTAGATGGTGCTGGGAGGCTGAGTGGGAGGGTGGTGAGGGTTGAGTGGTCAGCGTGGTGTAGTTTAGATGGTGATGGGAGGTGAGGGGAGGGTGGTGAGGGTTGAGTGGTCAGCGTGGTGTAGTTTAGATGGTGCTGGGAGGCTGAGTGGGAGGGTGGTGAGGGTTGAGTGGTCAGCGTGGTGTAGTTTAGATGGTGAGGGGGGTGAGTGGGAGGGTGGTGAGGGTTGAGTGGTCAGCGTGGTGTAGTTTAGATGGTGGCTGGGAGGCTGAGTGGGAGGGTGGTGAGGGTTGAGTGGTCAGCGTGGTGTAGTTTAGATGGTGCGGGAGGTGAGTGGGAGGGTGGTGAGGGTTGAGTGGTCAGCGTGGTGTAGTTTAGATGGTGCTGGGAGGCTGAGTGGGAGGGTGGTGAGGGTTGAGTGGTCAGCGTGGTGTAGTTTAGATGGTGATGGGAGGTGATGGAGGGGGTGAGGGTTGAGTGGTCAGCGTGGTGTAGTTTAGATGGTGATGGAGGTGTGGGAGGGTGGGGTTAGTGGTCAGCGTGGTGTAGTTTAGATGGTGGGAGGGAGTGGGAGGTGGTGAGGGTTGAGTGGTCAGCGTGGTGTAGTTTAGATGGTGATGGGAGGGTGAGTGGGAGGTGGTGGGGTTGAGTGGTCAGCGTGGTGTAGTTTAGATGGTGATGGGGGGTGGGAGGGTGGTGAGGGTTGAGTGGTCAGCGTGGTGTAGTTAGATGTGATGGGAGGCTGAGTGGGAGGGTGGTGAGGGTTGAGTGGTCAGCGTGGTGTAGTTTAGATGGTGATGGGAGGGTGAGTGGGAGGTGGTGAGGGTTGAGTGGTCAGCGTGGTGTAGTTTAGATGGTGATGGGAGGGTGAGTGGGAGGGTGGTGAGGGTTGAGTGGTCAGCGTGGTGTAGTTTAGATGGTGATGGGGGTGAGTGGGAGGGTGGTGAGGGTTGAGTGGTCAGCGTGGTGTAGTTTAGATGGTGATGGGAGGGTGAGTGGGAGGGTGGTGAGGGTTGAGTGGTCAGCGTGGTGTAGTTTAGATGGTGATGGGAGGCTGAGTGGGAGGGTGGTGAGGGTTGAGTGGTCAGCGTGGTGTAGTTTAGATGGTGATGGGAGGGTGAGTGGGGGTGGTGAGGGTTGAGTGGTCAGCGTGGTGTAGTTTAGATGGTGATGGGAGGGTGAGTGGGAGGGTGGTGAGGGTTGAGTGGTCAGCGTGGTGTAGTTTAGATGGTGATGGGAGGGTGAGTGGGAGGGTGGTGAGGGTTGATTGGTCAGCGTGGTGTAGTTTAGATGGTGATGGGAGGTGAGTGGGAGGTGGTGAGGGTTGAGTGGTCAGCGTGGTGTAGTTTAGATGGTGATGGGAGGCTGAGTGGGGGTGGTGAGGGTTGAGTGGTCAGCGTGGTGTAGTTTAGATGGTGATGGGAGGTGAGTGGGAGGGTGGTGAGGGTTGAGTGGTCAGCGTGGTGTAGTTTAGATGGTGATGGGAGGGTGAGTGGGAGGGTGTGAGGGTTGAGTGGTCAGCGTGGTAGTTTAGATGGTGATGGGAGGGTGAGTGGGAGGGTGGTGAGGGTTGAGTGGTCAGCGTGGTGTAGTTTAGATGGTGATGGGAGGCTGAGTGGGAGGGTGGTGAGGGTTGAGTGGTCAGCGTGGTGTAGTTTAGATGGTGATGGGAGGGTAGTGGGAGGGTGGTGAGGGTTGATTGGTCAGCGTGGTGTAGTTTAGATGGTGATGGGAGGCTGAGTGGGAGGGTGGTGAGGGTTGAGTGGTCAGCGTGGTGTAGTTTAGATGGTGATGGGAGGGTGAGTGGGAGGGTGGTGAGGGTTGATGGTCAGCGTGGTGTAGTTTAGATGGTGATGGGAGGGTGAGTGGGAGGGTGGTGAGGGTTGAGTGGTCAGCGTGGTGTAGTTTAGATGGTGATGGGAGGTGAGTGGGAGGGTGGGTGAGGTTGAGTGGTCAGCGTGGTGTAGTTTAGATGGTGATGGGAGGCTGAGTGGGAGGGTGGTGAGGGTTGAGTGGTCAGCGTGGTGTAGTTTAGATGGTGATGGGAGGGTGAGTGGAGGTGGTGAGGGTTGATGGTCAGCGTGGTGTAGTTTAGATGGTGATGGGAGGCTGAGTGGGAGGGTGGTGAGGGTTGAGTGGTCAGCGTGGTGTAGTTTAGATGGTGATGGGAGGGTGAGTGGGAGGGTGGTGAGGGTTGAGTGGTCAGCGTGGTGTAGTTTAGATGGTGATGGGAGGGTGAGTGGGAGGGTGGTGAGGGTTGAGTGGTCAGCGTGGTGTAGTTTAGATGGTGATGGGAGGGTGAGTGGGAGGGTGGTGAGGGTTGAGTGGTCAGCGTGGTGTAGTTTAGATGGTGATGGGAGGGTGAGTGGGAGTGCTGGATGGTGGTGACGTTGAGTGGGAGCGTGGTGTTGTAGGTGGTGCTGTGGGAGGTGATGGGAGGGTGGTGAGGGTGAGTGGTGAGCGTGGTGTGTTTCAGGTGGTGATGGGAGGGTGAGTGGAGGTGTTGAGGGGAGTGATGAGCGTGGTTTGTTTCAGGTGGTGCTGGGAGGGTGAGTGGAAGGGTGATGAGGTGAGTGTTGAGCCTGTGTAGTTTAGGTGGTGATGGAGGGTGAGTGGAGTGCTGGGAGGGTGGTGAGGGTGAGTGGTGAGCGTGGTGTGTTATAGGCGGTGATGGGAGTGAGTGGGTGCTGGGAGTGGTGAGTGTGAGTGGTGAGCGTGGTGTGTTGCGTATGTATGTTATGTATGTACAACAAACCTGCAACCGGTTTTGTTCCGGTCTTTACAAGGTGGTTACCGTGGTTACCGGTAATGATGGTTTGGAGTGTTGATGGGGGGTGCGTGATCATCATCGGTGTGCTTCATTGGTTGTGGGGAGCGGCAGTGACGTCTTTAGCGCTCTGCGCGACAAACCCGGCCCAGTTCGATTCCCGCTCACGGCTAACACCAGTGATGATTATCTGAACCGGACCTGGGCCTCCCCTATGTCCACTCAGCCTTACATGAGTACCTGGTAGTGTGTAAACATCGCCACTGGGGAGACAAAGGCGGCCAGGCGAGTTGCTGGCCGCCCACCCCCTCGTGTGCTGTGCCGGCCTTCGTAGGTGCTACTCGCTCACATCACTTACCCCAACATTCTGACAAGGCTATATGGGGGAATCTTTGTCTTGAGCGTATCTTTGTCTTGGGCGTGGGTTTATAGGATTCGTTAGGGTGAGTTTTGCGTGCATGCGGAACTTGTGTTCCACATGGCCTTTCTGAGATTCTTCCTGTGTGTGTCCCACCCCCCCCCCCCCCAGGCGATGATGGAGGGCACGTGTGAAGGAGGTGTCAGCGTCACGAGGGCGGTGAGGATGCAACCGTGATGATTGTCCCCGGGATGATTAGCCCGAGGGACAGGCCACCTCCACCTTAATGACGCTGGGCAGCAGCGAGGCTGAGCCCGTGTTCTCCCTGGCTTGGCTTCCCCGCTGCTGCTCTTGACGTTCGCTCCACTGGTCGCCTGTGCTCAACCCGCCCAGAAAATGCCCCACTTTTGACAGATTTTATAAACTAATCACGGTCGAGCCGACAGAGATGGCGCTTGGGCAGGTGGCCACCGTGCGCAACGGGTCACGTGGTGGGCAGTAGAAAGCTGCAGTGCAGGAAAGTTAATTGTTGTAGCGTACTTCAGTGCCCCCCGCATCTGTGCTTCCTGGCTTCGCCAAACCTGTACTGGCCAGCCTGCTGAGGTATTGTAAAATAACCCCCATGACCCACATCTTGTGGGGATGCGCTCATCCAGCAGTTGCTTGATAAAGGTCTCTGCATATACAAGTACTTTACTTGGCAGATGCAGTTTTGCTAGTCCACGTTTATCGGGTTTCCATTTCAACCTTTTCTAAGAATGCCTTTTATTGGAATAATGTGTACAAGAGTGTGTGCGTGTGGGGAGCGGTCGCGTAGCGGTTCACATGCGGTGCCATGAACCTCGCGGCCTGAGTTGGATTCTCAGCCACGGTTAAAATCATTGGCCATTGTCGAAACCAGTCATTGGCTTCCCTAGGTCGACTCAGCCTTGATTACCTGGTGAACGGCACTCGCGAGCCGAAGGCGGCCGAGGCATGGCGCTGGGCACACCGCCCCTCGTGTGCAGTGCTGCCATTGTCGGTGTTTGCGTCACAGCACTTGCCCCAGCGACGTATGTCGGCTACACGGTGGACCGTTGTGCGTGAGCCCATCATGCCCATGGTTGTGACTCCTGCCAGGGCCTCGCCGCCGTCACGCCGCATTGCCTGGGCTCGTGGCTGCGCAGCAGCAGGCGACTCTGCGAGCTCTGCATTGGTCAGACCCACGACAGCAAGGGTCTGGCAGAGGTATTGTGCACCACCAGAACAGTTTTTGTTTCTTGTTTAGTTTTGTTGTCCTTACCCTCGCACCTCCAATGAGCACGGTTAGCTACGTCCCATGCGAAATAAATTCAACATCCGTTCAACATGCATACACCACCGCCCAGATGTTCTACATTGCTTCATTGCCGCTCTTCATTTTACTTTGTGATTGCTTTTGTCATTGTGGTGGTCCAGGCCATTAATGCCAATGGGACCCATTCCGGTCTCTTTTTTTTCTCAGCTGGTTCAACAAAAAACAGGAGAACTTGAACTTGATTTTCAGCTGCCGAGACGATTTTGTGGGTTACAAGAGATGATCAAATTTCAGTCTTGTTTCTAAATACGTTTTTGCTTCAAATATGTCGCCCGGATAATCCCTTGGGATGGAAGGTCTCATTTGGAAGGGTGTCCGACACAGGCAACTCTCGATCACCGATCGAGGTTGCGGATTTCACGTGTAAGTGCAGAAGTAAACACTTGTCCGCTCCTCACCCGTTGGGGGTCATTGGGATGGAAGGTCTCAATGCTCACATCACCACAAACACGAAAAAATCTAAAACTGTAAACGATTAAAAATTTTACCCAGTAAGGGCCCACTAAGCGTCCGCTAAGCGGCGTTGCCCTTTTTCGGGAGTGACCTGGCCACGAATGACCTCACGAGAAGTGGCTTCTCATCGTGTGGACATTTATCACCGCAGCCAGATACTCCCAACGCGTGTTTCTAAATGTGGAGGGAAAAATCTAAGGAACCGGATAAAAATCCACGCCACCGTGGGGAGAGAGACACGCAAACTCCTCCTTATACCAAGCGAGCTAGTTAACATCTCGCCACGGTGGCAAGGATCAGAGGATGCATTTTTCTCTTCTTGGTTCTTTCGGTAAAGTCACGTAGAAGGGAAGTAATAAAATAATAAAAATAAAACATAATAATGGTGAGAATTATTTTATTATGTTTATTTTTATTATTTATTACTTCCCTTCTACGTGACTTTACCGAAAGAACCAAGAAGATAAATCCCTGCAGTCACGAAAGCTTTAAATCGAGAGGATGCATTCTGCATCTTCACCCATAGTCTCTAACAAGTAAACAATAGCTTTGGATTTAATAGCCTAGTTCACGTGATTTTCATTATCTGTTTTTTTATCTGGATCAACCCTCCCCTCCCCCAATACTCTAGATAATTTATCAAATGTTGACTGGTCCTGTGTCAAGATCATGCAAATTCCTATCCCGTATTCCCTATTCCCTGGCCCTGTCTGCACAGGTTACGTTTGTCTCCTGCACCAGGAACGGCTGGGATGAAGTCGACAAGGCCGCCTGGGAGGTGAGCTCATCGATGGTGCCCCTTGCACACCGCTCGAGTACCGCACACGCCACGTGCCTGTCCCTCGGGCTAATCACCCTGGGGATCATCATCATCATGGTGCATCCTCACCGCCCTCGTGACGCTCACACCTCATTCACATGTGCCCTATGTCATTGCCTGGGGGGGGGGAAGTGACATACACAGGGCTGTCCGTCTCCAGTTGAGTCAGATGTTAACTCCCTCGCAGTGTACAGGAGGCGGTCGTAGGTTCCATCCCGACCCTGACGGCTGCTGCTGCTGTATATTTGGAGTTTGCATGTCTTCCCCGTGGTCGCGTGGATTTTTCTCCCGGTACTCCAGTTTTCCCCTCCACATTTAGAATCGATGTCACGCGTTTAGAGTATTTGGCTGCTGCTATACATTTCCACACAATAAGCCACTTCATTGGGCTATCATTTGTGATGGCCAGGCCGCTTCTGAAAACGACGTAGCTCAGTGGGCGTCACCTGGTTAAAATAAAAAATGAAACACACAGGGCTGTCCCTCTTCAGCTGAGTTTCGTGCCTTTTATTCTTTTTGCAACGACAGCCTGCTTTCCCAGGAAAAGCTCACCGTGTCTCTTTTTCCGGAGTGTTCTGACACTTTTTCACAATCGGGGGTAATTTTGCCATGTGTAATGGCAGCTGATTAATTTGCAGGTAATTTTTCAGCATCGAGACGTTTGGGCTATACCAGTTGCATTGTGTGTATGGTTTTTTTTTGCTATGGGAGGAAACCACAGAACAAGGAGAGAACGAACAAACAGCGCGCAGAAAGACGCCCGACCAGGGTATCGAACCCACTTCTGAGGCTGTGCCACCGTATCGCAACTTTTATTTGTTTTGTTTTAGTCTCCAAATTACAATAAACCTCTTAAAGCCGGACTAATTGGGGTGAGAGCCAATCCAGATATGATGTCTGGCACGTTGGGCTTCAGGGTGGCGCTCCAGTAAACATGGAACGTGGTGGATCGAATCACGTTCCAGTGTTGGCCCAACGTTGCACGTTTACTT